TAAACTTACTGGCTCTTTGTTGGTGTCCTGGAAAGGCCCATTCACTTTGTTGAACTAACTCCTGCTCATTTAAAAATTGATTCGCTTTAAAACATAATACAGGCGACGCAACGGTTGAAGGCGCTATCTTCAGCTCAAAGTGCCCGGAGATCGATTCTAACGTATTCCTGCCCGATTGACGCAACGATTGAAAGCACCGTCTCCAATTTGGAGTGCTCCTGGGATCGATTCCTACAATGTTCTTGCTCGACGGATTAATTTTTGGAAAATAATATTCAATGCTTGGTTTGGGGTGGGAATATTGACCATTCTTGGTCCAGATCCTAACTATATTTGGGACTGCCCGCGCTATCGTTGAGTTGGCATAAATCGGCTTGAGTAACCCCATTGTCAGTAGGTCTCCTACCTGATGATTAAAAATTCCAAGTATATTTACCAGAACGTTGGATTTCAACTCCAAAGCGGAAATTACCTTTCTCTGTGTCGGGGAACCAGGCTGAAAACACATAGTGCCTTAAAACTTTTTGTTTACTTCTAGGCCAGACTTCTCGATGTACATCGAAGATCACCAGAAGTGCTTACCCATTGATTTTGCTCCTTGAGAACGATTAGCATTTTATTGCTGTTTTGCTTTTCCATTTCTTCTTGGCTCCTTAGGCATCTGATGTTGTTTAGTAGACATAAAAGTATGGGAAGGAAGTGTGGCAGGGCAATAAAGACCTTCAAAAGTTAACAAAAGTAGTTGTCTCGACAGGAGAGCTGAATATATTATATTTTATTTATTTATTTTATTTGTACCTATTTTTAGTCATCAGACTGATAAACAACTAATTTGATATCGCTGGTTACTGGTGTATTCCATAAAGGCCATCGGAAGGGATAAAATCTGAGTCCTTCTACCCAAATGTTTAAATCTTCGTTTTCCTCCCAACTCCCTTTTGCTATTTCCCGCTTTCTCCCACCCCGATTTGCTCTAAAAGGAAATATCTGTGAAAAATGCTCCAGGACTTGGATAGATTATTTCGTTATAAACATTAAGCCACCAGATGCCACTGACCCAACTGTCTGCCACTTGATACTTCTGTAGGCAAAACCTTGAGAAACGTAAACACTGCCCTATGAGAGAGTTCAGAGGCATTTGAATGCTAAGTAGCAATGGAAGGGAACGATCAGCATGACATCACAAAAATTTTATTTTTGTTTACTACCACCTACTTGAGCCTGAGTGGTTGTTGAAAGAAAAATACGCTTAGCCAGGTGGGAGATCCTAGTGTGACTCGGTGGACTCCGACAATCCCGCTCCATGGCTAGATGAGACTGTAGTGGGCGGCCTTGAGGGAGAATCAAAAGGTAACCTAAGGTACATTAAAAGTTTAAAGTTCTGCTCCCTTTGAGGTATACAGTCCAAGTCATCTTCTTCTGGTACCATCCTTGTAGATTACAACACCGATTTAAGAACGTACAAAGCTAGCTGTTTCTCAGAAGGGTTATCCACAGTGGTTTGTGGGCGGAGACACTCGGTGAGACGGTTGATAGTTGCCCCAAAGGGGTGGGGTGGACTCTATGGGGCCTGTAGTATTACTTGGATACAGTTTAATAGAAATGGTGGGGAGGGGCAAAAACGAATTTGACCCAACCTCAATTTCTTGGGATCCGATGTGCTATCGTAGTCCTGGGAGAGGATTTTCCATCAGTTTCTTCATATAGAGCTCTTAACCTATTATGGCAAACACTATTAGGATCCCTACAAACTTGGATTACGGTGTGGGACGCTCGAAAAAGTGAACAAAAGATCGAAAAGCCTATGAGGCATAAAATGTTTCAGAAAAATAGACTAGGCTTTTTGAAATTATTCGTATGCACGAAAAGAAACCTTGAGGAACCCGTTGGGAAGGAGTTTTTTGTGAAGTCCTTCTAGGAAAAAAACGCTAATCCACGAACTTTCTCCTCAAAACCAGTTTAGTGGGAGGGAGCGGTAAAGATTCGCTGAAGTTTTTTTAGGAGGCCCATTCTGAAAGGTAAACACCACTGTGTCAGGCGTAAGGCTAGCACCTCGTCTGCCTCATCGGTGACGAAAATAAGCGGTTATATGCGACACTTCTATGAAGTGGTGGGAACGCTGGCACCTGAAAGGCCTTCAAGAATTGATCGAATCAAACGAATCAATCTATCAAAGGATCTAAATTGGAGCTGTTCTGAAAGAAGCATAACTCGTTATCAGTCCCGAAGGTCACTGTGCCCATCAAGTTGGTCGAAAGTAATTGGCCGATTATTTGAAAAGTCTGGAAAAAGGCTTCGTCGTCAAACATGAACCCGGGTCCGGGCGACTTCGGATATCGAGAAGCAGCGTCTTCGATGCAAAAGACCCACCAGTTAGTTAACAGAATTGGATAAGGGGTTCAAATGCAGGATGTCCCACCCACTAAGGTTACCCTGCCTGCGAATGGAGCGTCGAAGCAGCAATCGAGGCCTGGGATTGAATACGAAAGCAGAGAGAGCGAAAATGGGATCAGAGAGGTAAAACCACTCGGGAAAATCCTATGATATCACTGGATATGTGGAGGTTCCCATGAAGAGAATTGACCCAGATTTTTCGGGTTTCCTTTTATAGCCTCACTGGGAACTGAAACCTTGATTCCATAACTTCTTAATTGGAATAACAAGCATTTGAGCGTATTTTCCGCATTGGTGGTCAGGTATGGCTGGTGGCTCAGTGGTAGGTGGCGCACGGTCACACGCCCATAAGCTAGGGAAATCTCAGGAGCAATATCCGCACAGCTAACCAAGGTTTCCATCCCTCTGGGTCGTTTATCTGGTAACTCATCTGGGAGGATAAAAGCGTGGCCTTGTACAATGGCTATTCACCGCAGGCCAGACAACTTTTCAAAAGGCCGCTATGTCTTTGAAAGGAAGCCGAATTCGTGGCGCATCAATGAACGGGTTTGATTATCGAGAAAGAGAAAACCAACCCGATGATTTCGGAAAACGGAAGTTCAGCAGCTAATTTTATGGCGTCTGGCTGCCAACGGAGTGCTAGACCCCTTAAAAACTACAAAAACAACGATTGGGCTCTCGGAAGACAACAACTACATTTTTAGCTGCAATCCAGACTCCCCTAACATGCCCTTCATGGTGGCCTTGTTTACCTTCATCCCATTAATACTTGACGGCAGCACGTTCTCCCATCAACAACGACCCAAGCGGGCATCCAACACTCTCACGTCCTTCCCCCCAGTTCTCACGTGGCGTTGTCATTTTGCTAGTAGTTTTTCTTTACCAAATGAGATGGGAAGGGGGACAACAGACCATTCTGTGCTGATTCTCTTTCGTAGTCTCGGCATTTGTGGTATTCAAAAGGTGTAATTATTCAAATCCCTCCGAACCCTCCGAAGTACTACGCTTTGGCATTTATAGCAATGACATTCGACTGCCTCATTATACAGTCACAGTCGACATTTTCAAGTGTAGCATCGAGCGGCGCTTTCTGCACGGGCAACTGTACCCATTTGGGTCCTGAATCCAAGTTTNTTTGCAAACAACCTTCCACCCACATCGTCTGACGACATGTTACGGGCAACGTGACCTTTGTTGTCTTGCATTAAATCACTTTTCTTTACGGTATTGTCACTAGGAAGGAATTCCAATTTACCAGTTCCATCTGCCAATGTCGCAAATTCTTCCTCAATATGACTCAGGCCCGGAAAAAATTCCCAGATGCCATGTCGAAATGTCACCCGAGCGAGGTCCCACGCCTTTATCGCCTTGGTTCTTTCCGCAATAGTGAACAGCAGTCCCCTCCGATCCTGGACCTTTATTACCCAGATCCGATTCGGTTTGACACTTTGGTACTGGTACACGGCGAGGCACTTATCATCAGTCTGTTCACTTCACTCCCGTGCCCGGCAAGTTCCCCTCTCTTTTATTGCTGTGTTTACCCTGTGTATGCGCTCGCTACTATTATGATTTACCATAATAATAGGTTCGAGTAGTGAGTAGAATAGAGGGACAACCTTGATCTGCGACCCTCGTACTCTTCCGGGAGCCACTATTCATCTATCGGCCAACCGCCGTCAAACGGCTGGACCTCATCGTCGCAGCGAGCGATGCGTAATAGCGATGCGGAACCTCCCCAACCGTGAACTTCCTGATCCAGGATGATCCCGGTCAAGGATAGACAAAAGTCAATCCGCTTACCACCGGTTCGATAAACAACTGTTGCAGTTAGCCCATTGTGTACTTATTGTTTATCAAAATATACAACCCTCCTGCTCAGACAACTTATGTTAGTAATTTGCTGATTCCCTGGAGCTTGCAACATTTTCAATAGGTGTCAGTCAGTGTGAAATCGGTAGCTATGTCTGCCTTTCATGGCAATTTGGCGTTGTGCCAAGCCAAGGAGGGGCGTGGCCGTCAGTCACAACCAACAACAATCGCCTCGCGTGCTAGTAAACAGCGCGGACGTTGCACTCACAACGTCCACCATCTGTTTCTATCAATCACACCCAGTCTGATCTACGTCCACGACGCTTTGTCCAATTTGTGTCTTTGTAATGTCAGCCGAGGTCCTGGACGAGGTTCAGAGGTGAAGGTTCAGTAGGTTCACCTCCTCGATCACCTGGCCTCCTAAAGAGCTCATGCACTTGGGCGTGATCGTCGAGTGGCTGCATAGCGTGAGAGCGCATGAAGGCTTCTATCACGAAAACAACCATCAAAGCAAAAACAACCCGTCCCCGTCAGCTATGAGCTCTTAGGTACCTCGTGCTCTCTATCCGATAACTTCCTCCCTTCACCTCCCATAATTTGCCCCTCATTCTTGCCACTTGGGTATATATGTGCTCGTTTACACTTCCTTTTCTGGTCGTTGGCTTCCTATCGCTTTCGCTCATCTCTTAATCTGTCGTCATCGATTTCGAGCCTTTCGTTTTGCTCGATGAGTAGGCTTCAGAGCCCCATTGTCGCCGTTATCCGTCTTCTCCGTTACAACCAGTAAATATTCAGATATGGATAAATTACGTGCGAAGATGCACATCAGAAACGAGCTGGGACGGGCCCTGATAGCCGAATTTATGGGCACAGCCCTGTTACTGGTAAGCCTTTGATTTTACATAGTAATCCTTTGAAGTTGATGGAGTAAATAACTGCTGCTAGAAGTAGCTAGTAGAGCCTATCGTTATGCTTTGGTTCACATCGTTAGTGAGAAACAGTGGCTGTTTACTCCCCGTCACATACACAGTGGCAATGATATGCTGCCGTTTTGATGCCTTCCCAATGCGTAAAATTCATGAACCAGCTGCAACGGACGGACGTTGGCCTCTCGGGTCGCCAGACACCCACCCGGCAGCGTTGCAAACCACCAACGCCACGCATACACCACATTATGCTGAGCTTCTAGCTGTTCGTCCCATAGCCTCCTCCCTATTGGCATTCGAAAGACCACCACAAATGGGTCGCTATTATCTGGCTGGTCGAGTCTCATGAGATAATGGATGGCACGTGTAGCTAAAGTAGCTCAAGGGACTTGTCCGTCTAGCAAAACAACAGAAGTGCTCCAGTGGAAGGAGGTGGGAGAAGTGCTACCCAAGGAGGAATCTCCTCTCTGGAGGCACTGCTGACGCTTAGGATGTAGTTTCCATGAAAGAAAAACAACCCTTGAGGTTAAAATGTCATTTTCAGCTGATCGGTAACTGTGTTGTTGCCCAAAGTGTGCTACCACGTCCGAAACTGAATGAAATGATCGGAATAAACGTCGGTTTCGGTTTGGCCATCGCTTTCGGTGTTGCCATATCGGCAAAGATCTCAGGTGAGGGCCATACTTTTGCAAAATTTCTTGTAAACCACAGCACCAGTATGATCTGACTGGACCCTTCAGAACTGTGATGTTAATGGTGGTTACCCTTCCCGGATCAATACTAAGACATAGTAAACGGGGAAGATCGTAAATGCGAAGGACTTAGGAGATGACTGGGTGACCTTCACCGTAGGAGAAACTGAATAGGGTCGATTCAGCGCATGGGAAACAATAGGGGGAGAACAATGATTAAGGTTTCCACTTTCCTTGGAAATCATTCGCGGTGGGGGTATGTCGGTGAAACCAGAATACAGTAAACTGGGGAGCTATGGATCGGTATAATTGGAGGGTGAGAGTACTGTGGAACGATGTAAGTGGGTGTTGCGATTTTTGAGGGCGTTTTTGTTTTTAGCACAACCGAATGAACTCTCGATGATGTCATTTTCTCCCTGGGAAAAAGAGTTGGTGGGAGGAAAAGAAAAGAAAAAGAAGGAAAGCTAGAAATACAAGGGGGAGTAAGAAAGTATGGGTCAGTTCAGCTGTCAGGGTACATGAAAGATTAGGAGTCTGATCTGCTTCTTTCGGGTTACTCTTAAGGGAAGTTTTCTGGTCCTCAGGGCTACTATAAATTCCGGGTAGGGCTGTCTGCTTATACCGGGGTTCCTGGGTGATTTGACGAAATCAATAAAGGTGTTCTTCCAGAAAAATCGGGGAAAGAGGTTTTTAATTGCTTTTAAAATGCGAGGAATGTGTTTCTCCTTGAGAGCACTTGGCCACTTTTTCATTGGCTTCTATTTGGTAAATGTTTTCGGCGATTAACGTCGTCGCTGTGTTACGGCGTTTATACGCCAAGGTCGTCAGCACATTAAAAGCTTTTGCAGGAGGTCATATCAATCCGGCTGTGTCGCTGATGTTCATGAGCTTCCGCCAGCTGGCCCCAGTCCGTTTCATCCTCTACACGATTGCACAGACCCTTGGAGCTTTAGTCGGCGCAGCTTTGGCATATGCTCTATACCATGGTGAGTCCACCGGCTAGAATCTGCTCGTTGGGCAGACCACCCAAGTTTGAACGCATAACTACTTTCAGAGGCAATCAACAATTTCGACGGAGGAATCCGAGCGGTTATTGGACCAAAAGCAACGGCCGGCATTTTCGCCTCCTATCCAGCCAATCATTTGGGTCTTTTCGGAGGACTCATTGACCAGGTTCGCATGTTGGCATCTTTTCGGGAAGGGGACCCATCCGTTGTTTATAGTGTCTGCAGTGCGCAACTGCGTGCAACGATCTCATCTCATTAGTGACCCGCCGACCTCCTCGCCAATCGCGTCGTCACGCCCGTCTCTCGCTCGGTTGTTGAAATTACCCCGTTTCCGGGGTAGGCGAGGTCGCTATCAGGAGGGTTCCATTAGTACATCGTCAGGTAGCTGGCGTGGGAGAATTCATTAAACACAGAGCTGGTAGCCTTTTGAAACACCTATACCAGGCCTTTTACCAGCCTATTACCAAACCCTGACTACTACAGAACCTCATTTAACTCATCTGTTTTCTGCTTACCACAATGGCAGACGGAAATGAAAATGGGCTCCCAGATCTTTGCTCGACTGTCTGCAGCCGTCAACACAACGGAGCCTAATTATCGTTAAGGCATGAATTGCTGGTTACGATGTCTCCCTAGCAACCTGCCCGATCGGGAATCACCTATGCTGGGCTGTGTAAATGACCAGATTAGATAACCTATTAGCTTGCAAAGTAATGAACGGAAGAGACTAATTGCAAGCTTCGAAATAGCTGTCACGAGCCAATCGAACCCCCCAAGCCCAGAGAGCTGTTTATCTGGGATTAGATCCCACAGAATGAACTTTTTGTTTTCCATACTACTTAATTACTTAAGGGATCACATTTCAGATTATCGCCACGGCTGTATTCTGTTTCTTGATCGCCCACATTACAGACAAGAGAAACTCATATCCAACGTGGCTTCAACCTCTACTTGTAAGTTTGGGAGCTTTGACAGCTTCTGTGGGTTAGAGCTGATTTGTGTCTTTCAGGTTGGACTCTCCTTCGTCGCTGTCGGAACCGCTTTCGGATTCAACTGTGGATATCCCTGTAATCCTGCTAGAGACTTCGGACCACGTCTTTTCACCCTCATCGTTGGATACGGAGGAGATGTATTCTCGTGAGTACCTACTATACCCTCAAAATGAACGCAGCCGTCAATTATTCAAATTAAACACAGGTCTCCCCTCGGTGTAATTTAACGAACTCCCTCGGGTGTTTCCCCACTTGCAGGGTTTTATGCCCTCTATTGATTTGGTTGGCTTATCTTCTCTAGATATGATACCGAAGGCCTATCTGTGGGAATTTCCCCAAGCAGATCCTGCTCCGAGAAACACTACCGAACAACCGAATTCAGGGTTCAATTGTTCGAAGATCCTGAGTGGATGACGTTTTGTTGACCGGAAATCGGAAACCGAAAGGTCTATTCCTTAAAATGTGAAGAGTGAAAGGGTGGACTGTATAGTGAGAGGAAGATGAATGCGTGGATGGTTGATTGAGCATGTCATCCCTAACCGATGACGACATGGAGATAGGATAGCGCCCTAGAATTATTGCCTCCGATTGAAGGAATGACAGGTGACAGTGACATTGACTAGCGTTTGTGGTGGAATTTCGGGCCCACTGGATAACCTAACTGGGTTGTAGAAGTTAGCGACAGAAGAACAAGAGGAAAAAAGAAAGGAGGAAGGAACCAGGGTAGTTATGAAACAGAAAACTTTTTGAGAAGTCATCTGTAAAAATGGGAAGGGAAAATTCAAAGTAGCACCGGCTGAACTCTAAATGTCCCATCCGGCAAATTTTATAATCCAAAAATGAATTTGAAAGTTGTCTCCATTTGTCGCTGATCTGGACGTGGTCGTAATCGAGCGAGCTGAAGCTTGGATCATGATGAGAGCATCTATGTGTTGGAGGGCTGGGGCTATCGCTATTTTTGCTGAATCACATCATTCACATTACCATGGTAGTACCGTAGAGAGGAGTGTTTAAAGAATTTTCGATATTCTCTGCTCACTTGAAACCGTTCTCATTCTAAGCGCTCTGGTTGTTTGAAGTTAGTACCCAACGGACATCGCTTACCCTGCCTTAGTGACTAGATTACCCCGACTGACCATCCTTTTACTTATATGACCATCCATCTCGTTTGTTTCTTTGCTCAGTATAGCCTCTGAAAAAGTTTCTCTGATCTTTGAACGGCTTGATATGCTGCGAACACTAAATCGAAGCCCATTGCGTGTGTAGCAGTCGTTTCATGGGCTGTTTCGGCGGAAGGGGGAATGGCTGCCACTGGTAACATTTGTGATGCCAAACTATTTTTTCATGGACGAAACAGCCAGAGGCTACGGGGTGATTTAAGGTTTTTTGCGACCTGGGGTTCAGAAGAATCAATCGAAAACGTAGATGTTAAGCTCGGAGCTTGAATCACGGGACGGAGACGAGTGGGTGAGGGAAGTGCACGGATATTCAAGTAATCTCAGCCCTGGGTTTAGCAGTGCAGGAGGAAGGCTACTAGTAGGTAGAGGTGAAGGAAACAAAGGGGTCCACAGTAAGTGGTGCGCAGTCCCCCGATAATCCTCCCACTCCCCTGAAATCTGTAAAGTTCTGTTTTGTTACACAAAAACTCCACTTACAGCTAAAAGTTAAATTATATCAAAGAGGGCTTTTCTGATACATTTCAGGCATAGGTCCTGGTGGTGGGTACCGATCGTTGGTCCCTTCATCGGTGCGCTCATCGGAGGTTGGCTTTACCAGCTCTGCATTGGATTCCATACTCCACAAGATGCTGAAGAGAAATACGTCGTATTGACTGGAAATCAAGAATTGAAGCCCCTTACTGGAAAAGAGTAAGTTATTCCCAGTACGGAAGTAGTTGTTAAGATTAGTATTAGGCCAATAGACGAACGTAGAGCGTAGAAAAGTGAAAAGCTTGCGATTTTTCAAAGTTTCTTTTAGTGTTGCCTACTAATCGTGCCGCCCTCGAACAAGTACGAATAGGTTTTGAACGCTTACTACATACTGTAGAATAGATATAGAAAAGATAGAAAGTAGAGTAAACTCCTTCAGAAGGTCCACGGACATTTTCCATTTCAGAGCCGTTGAAGAGGCATAGTCGTTGTCGCCAAATCTGATGCTACGTTGTTATTGCGCTGCTGCTGCTCGTTCTGCCGCTGCTACTACCTACTCTGATCTTATCTCCCTCTCTCTGATATATTATCTAATCATTAATCAATCAATCGATCGTATTAGCTTGCCGGTTAGTATTATCATGAAATATCATCGAAAATCATTCATTACAGACACAATGAAGACACGAATACAACGCTGCCTCTTCTTCGAAATACCTCCTATCTGTTATCAATTTGAATTGTCGTCGAAATCTGTTTGTCACCCCTTTTTTTCCTCTGCTGTCATTTTGTCGAATTTCGCTGTGCTTCAATAAAAAAACTTTTTATCCGAGCAGAATGAGTCAAGAAGGCGAGGCAGTGATGGAGGTATCTACAGGATAAGAATGGATCTGCACAAATCGTTCCCGTGGAAGTCCAGGGACAGAATGACGGTGACAGAGGCGTGTGGGAGCTTTTCGGTGTATGTCCTTCATACTGAACTTGTGAAAAGTGTGGAATTGGCGCCGTCGGGATGTTCAGTCACCCATACCCCACCAGGATTTGATATACGCACTTCATAACCTTCACTATTTCTCTTCTAGTTCCTGGACAACGTAATAGCGTGGTCGTTTTTGTGTTTTTTATGGTGTGGGATTATCTACGCCTGCATTTTTAGTCAATTATAAGCTATTTTAATCCACGCTCCTTTTGAATGTAGAAAATATTTGTTTTTTCGTAGCGCTCTCAAGTTTGGATTGGGGAAGGGCATAGGATTCAAGTTCAAATTGTGGGATATACGAGGGCACAACTAAGAGTGGCTGTTTTCTTGTTGTAACAAAATTTTCATTCTAAAAATGCAATCTGTAGCTTTATCGTATCCTATTTGCTGCCATGAAAGAGCTCAATAAGAGCTATGGTTCGTTTATAACGCCCACCACAGCCAAGGACGCCCACAATTGGACGTGTCGTGTCGCCGTGTTCTGGCACAGCTTCATTGAGTAGAACATGTTGTCACNTACTTACGTACTCCGCTCACACTGCTCGGACAATACTGGAATTGTAATCCAAAAAAAAGAATTTTTTAGGTTTTCAGTGATTTTCCAGATTTTTTTTTGCCATAGGCTCTTCTACTCATTAACTTTTCGAAGAACATGTGTAATGTCCCATAGGGGTGGTGACCACTTAATGAATGGGAGAGTAATTGCTGACATTCTGTCGACAACCTTACGTTCCAGCCGGGAGCAGTTAAAATCAGCTTAATGAGGAGAACAGCAGCCTATTAAATCTTCTAATCAAGTCATGCCAAGATGATCCCCTCGTTAGCAGCTGTATACGGGAAAGCATCAAGGACTCGGGAAAGCAGAAAACAGGTTGTTGTTCTAGTAGCGGAGTACCAAAATGGGAAGAAGAAAGACGAATAAATAACGTCTCAAATTACCAACTACATACGGGGCGTTCTTGGCAGCCGAGGCTTTTCTTACATAGTAAACATGAGGGTTCTAAGTAATTTTATTAAAAAAACGATTTTCCGAGGGCTGCTATTCAGTTTGTACCCATTACTAACAGAAGGATGAAAGGCTAGTTGTATGAAACTGCGAAGAAGACGTTGTACTGCGCTTTCTGCTGGAATGCGCCACACACATGCGCATACTGCCAAAATATCAAAGTATTTGGATCCATGACTTGCTCAGGCAGTGTCTAGCAAAGGCCAGCTCATCGCTTACTCCTTCAAATCGAGTCCAACTCCTAGAAAAAGGATGGCTGTAGCCGAGTTTCGATACTATGTCGTCCGAGGGGGCTAAGGTTAGTCAATCATCGGGTTCTTCCTACATTTTGTAGCATAGTACGTGTGTAAGCCAATAATTACTAGAAATTCATTAAATCCGACTACAATACGGATAAGGAGCCTACGTCAAAGTTTACCTCGATTTTTAGGATTTTTCAAGTTATTTTCATAAAAAAGGATTGTATTAATTGCCACCCCACCCACATATGAACTTCTTTAACTGGTTGGCTCTATTCATTTTCGTTGTAGAAAAGGAGGATGGATGTAATGAATGTGTGCTGAGCGTTGATCCGTTGCGCACTTAAATTACGATAGCTTCCTAATTGTTCGTGAAGAGGGTCATATTCCCATGAGGGCAAATGACTTCGTTGTCTCGCGACTGGCTACTGCCGTTTATCGTCGAAATTGCGAAAACGAACACATAAAGAGTCATCTTTGGTCCAGCTAGGGGAAGCAGGATATCTTGGCGTTTCGAATACTTCCAACAGGAAGAAAACAAAAACACCCTTACAGAAAAATTATTCTGATGATTGTGTAAACATAAAGAAGTGGGAAAAACTAGGAAGCATGGATTAAACTGCTCAACTTATGTGCTCGATTGTTTCATTTGATTCCGCTTCGGATAGGATTTTTTTCGCTTCGATTTTTGTATCAAAACCTTGGACTCTGATATACAGTAGTGAAGCTACCGCGCCCATGATGCCAGTGGAAGTACCAGGTCTTTGGTCCAGGGAAACTTTGGGAACTTCTATACCATGAGCCGAGCCGTTAGGTGGCATCGACCTGCCCAAAAGATTGGAGACAACCACACCGATTTTTACCTTGCTTGACATCTGCCGCCAAAGAAATCATCATGCAATACATGTAGGCGCTTAACTGTCCACACCATTCTGAATAGAAGCTAAATACATGGCGTGGTAAAGATACGCCAGTACTCCGAGAGCATTTGGGATGCCTTGCTTGGAAACCTTGGTGATGTACTAGCAAGAGGCATCCAAGCATGGTCCTGGGACCGAATCTAGGTTCACTATCCGACTGGGTCAACCAATTCTTCTATTTCTCCGGCGTCGGTTAATTTGGGCCAGACTCGTTTGGGAGGACAAAGCATTGACTTCTACATTGGCCGGTCAACGCAAGTCATTATATCGGCCACATACATACGCATTCAGATTCGCATTCAATATTACGATTCTGCATGGGAGTTAAGTGCGAGGCGCATCCCGAAAGGAATTCATCAACGCCGACACGCTTACCCTTTCGTGCGGGTTTCACTGGGAACACTCATTTGGGAACATCGAAAGAAAGCGAATATAAGATGACGTCAACTAGTCTTTTTTCATTTTCTTAGAGGTCAGAAGGGATGTATAGGATTATCTATTTTGTGATGCTTCTCCTACATAATTACCAAGAGCTTACGTGGGCGTGGGAGGGTCAGAATGCCACGAACAATAGCCTACCCCATTAATACCACGAACCCCTTCCAGACCTCACGTTGGCCACGTGGCATTGCTATTCCTCAAAGCTGGCTATTTCTAGCCAGACGAAACATTTGCATAGTAACGATGCACATCCTTATGTGACTTGGGTTAAATGCATAATCATCCGGCGGTTTTTGAACAACATTATTCATGAAAAACGTAAATATCCAACAGGAATGGGGTGACGTGCTGTTTTTTCCAAGATTCTGTGGCAACGGACGGCCATGAAATAGTTCATGTCATTATTCAGTCTCCATAGTGCCTACAGAAGGCTCGTCATCTCTGACAGCTGTCAGAAGTGCCTGATCGCCAGAATCCACTGCCGATCTCTTCTCTGCTTGCTTTTTAAAAATGATTAATACTGTTTTATTGGGAAAGCAAGGTATGGGGGTAGGCAGGGGAAGCGGTGGCTAAAAAAACCTGCTCAAATCTGCATAACGTGCGATATTTCAAAGAGGATCATAACTCGGCTATGCCATTTACTTTTGTAAGAGTCAGCCATCACAGACTTCTCATTTGTGGTACCTTATTTTTCTTGCTGTTCTCAAGAAATGATTGCGATGTTTGTGTGAGACTAAGATATGAGATTTGACGATTTTCCTGAGTCCATTAGTTGGTTCTCCCTGTCTAGTCAATCAGAAAGAGAGGATCTTCATCAGTAATGACGGATTTTTCCGTTCGTACAGTTACCGGGCCTTCATTTTAATGACTCGGAAATTTTCCTAGTCTTTTCTTGGCTTTCTGAAGAAACAACCACTTCAATATGACATGGTTTCATTTCCAGAGTCTTCAGTAGCATGGGGCAAGCGGTTGCCGAGTAGACTTACATATACGTCAGGAGAACGGTGGGTGCCCACATTGAACTTATAGCAATTACAGTAACCGATTGAGTCCTTAAGTCCGAAAATCGGGTACTACCTCTTTCATATGCTCCTTCAATTTTCCTGTGAACAAAATAAGAGCCTCTCAAAATGACTTTCAGAAACATTCAGTACGTTGGCACTTATACAACCATATCATTTTCTTTTTCTTCCAGTAAACTGCATGGCGAAATCCTCTATGAAGCGTATCTTTAAACCAGACTCCTTCACAATGAAATATTCCTTTTGTTCAATAAATTTCCTTTGGTATCGAGGTATTTCAAAAAATAAAGGCCCCTTAGCTGTACTGTTCACAGTTTCGAAAAGAGGTTGGATATAGGAATTATCGAGTTGGGCACCTGTTCGGTTTTCGATTACCAGTTGTATGAGCAGCGTGCAGTGTGGGAAAAAGTAAAAATTTAGAATCTCAGGAATTTTACATTCCATTGCGATTTAGTTAATCACATCGCGTGAGACCTACGAAGGTAGGCGAATGAAATGGAACTCAAAACATATGTATTTCTCATGTTTGAAAACCGTACCAAGTTAAGGCTCTCCCAACTTTTTACTCCATCCCCACCTTTTTTTATTTAGTGGAAGTAAGTTCTTGTTAGGCATT